CCCCCCCCCTCTCTCCCTCTCCTACCCCCGGGCACATTGTTGTGTGTGTTTGCATCGGACATGCTGTGGGGCGCGATGCAGCGGAAAAGCGCATTTACTGCGCCTCTGTGTGTGTGTGTGTGCGTGTGTGTGTGTGTGTGTGTGTGTGTGTGTGGCTGAGGGTGTGAGTGTGGGGTAGAGGGGGCACCGGCCTCCCGGCTGGACTGGCGCCAGCCACATCCGGGCAGAAACGGCCTGGTCTCGCATAGGGGTAGGGGGTGGGTAGGTGGTGGTCTCGTTCCGTCACACACATGCCCCTCTTCCCCCTTCCTTCCTTTCCTTCCTCTCTTTGCTCACAGTTTTTCTTCGTTGCGCAGTACACGACACGGTACACCGTAATTATTTAAGTAATTCATGGCAAACAAAACACCGCTAGCCCAGGGACGTCAAGTTAAACAAAGTTTTAAAAAATTAATAAAATTGACGGACGTGTGTCTGTTAATTATTTACACGGCAGGTGAAAACGAGGCGGTAACAACTCGCGTAATAGTCTGTGCACCTGTTCCAAGTATTATCGAAGTATAACACGTGATAATGCGTAGTTGTCTAACAACGAAAAGTACGAAAAAGTGTCAAATACACTAAAAAATGGTAGAATGCCGCGTGTAATAACTGGCGAAATAGAACGTAAATTAAGTTCCTAAGGTGGGATATTTCCGAAATTTTCCTGAAAATTTCCGAAAAATTTACACAAAATGTCCGGGGTCTGAGAAATTAATTTCTTTTTCTTTCGGATACTATCCGAATTTTCCTCGGAAATTTTCCAGGAATTTCAACCCTTCAGTTTCCAAAGAAAAAAAACAAACAAAAAAACCCTAGTTTAGTTGGACGGATTTGTGGCATTATTTAGGGTAAATAAATATGTTATTTCCGACGCGATCCTACCTGCGCGGCGACGTGGCCCTTCCTGAGCCGCGGCAGGTCGGTGTGCGACCAGCTGGACGTGCCCCACGGCGCCACCTGCCGCAGGTCGCTGCTGAACCGGAAGTTGTGGATCTTGTTGTGCAGGTACTGCCGGATGTTCCACGGCAGGTCGTTGTGCCTGTGACAAATAACGGAAATGTATTATGACATTAAATGGGGATAAGAATACACTCGGGCGTCACATTATGATCCTTTGGTATTGTTTACGATTGATTTTTTTGGAGCCGTTTGAATCTTCACACGCCAATCCATTTCAATGAGGCACCGACGCAAGAAGTGGCAGCGGGAAGCCCGTCGGCTCAGCCCCAAAGGGTGGGCCCTTCTCTAGGCCTGCTAGCGCGGCTCCGACAGGCTCGGCTCGGCTTTGGCTCGTTTATCTGAAGCCGACGCGCGGGGCTTCGGCCGCCCCGGGGCGGGACCCCTACGGAGCGGGCCCCCCGCGCCGCGCTACACCCTCACGGAGCCCTCTAGGAGAAGCCGACGCGACGTGTGACCGGGGAGATAGCACCACTTTGCAAAACGCAAAAAAATGCATTTCAGCGTCCATTTAAAAAAAAATGGATCAAAACTTACATACTCAATCTTAAAAAAACAAACCACATCCATTTTTAAAACAAATACACACTTCTTTAAAACCACCAACTTTTCACCTTACTTTTTCAAAGAAAATACCTCTCCTTTGTATAAAACAAAAAATTAGCCGTTTCGAAAAATGAAAAAAATTACCCAGTTTGACAAAAATCAACTACAAGTTCCTCCCCTCCCCCTCTCCCCGCAAAAAAAAATCAAAAAATTATTTGCTAGAGAATTGTTGGATTAAGTCTCTGCTGTACTGACCCGTCGATGAGCGGCGTCTCCCGGAGCAGGCGGGCGGCCATCTCGAGGCGCTCCTCCAGCGAGGCGCCGGCCTGGATGCGCATCGCGATGGGCACGCCGATGCCCGTCGCGGCCGCGAGCAGCAGCAGCACCATGATGAACAGGCGGTGCTTGGACGTGAGCGAGAACACTGTGGACAAGAGAAACGCGTAGGGGGGGCCGCCGTTAGACAAACTAGAGAAAACAGAAAAGAATACAGGGGAGCCTACAAAGGAATTTAGCAAAAATAATTCAGGAAAACAATAATGATATGAGATATGATATTAAATATTTTTTTCCGATTTTGATTTTTTTTTTTTGCAGCAGTGGATGGAGCACAAATCTGGACCACTAGTATCGTGCAGTTTGTTGAAGCCGAAGGGGTGGGACAAGGATGCTGCTGTGCATCGTGTCAGAGAGAGAGAGACAGAGAAAGAGAGAGAGAGAGAGAGAGAGAGAGAGAGAGAGAGAGGGGGGGGGGGGGAGAGCACAATCCAGGGGAAAGCAATTGGTCGCGGAAGTCCCAACAGCGGCGGCGGCGCGGCGGCGCAGACGTCTGCCCGCATCATGGCCGTGGTGGAGCCGCCGTAGTAACCATAGCGAGGCAACCGGAAGAAACACACACCACGACGACGCCCGGCACAAAGCTCAAAGTTTGTTTTGTTGCGTGTTGACTGCCCCACCCCGAAACAAGGCAAGTGTGTGTGTGTGTGTGTGTGTGTGTAAAAGGGGTGGGGTTGGGGTTGGCGACGACTCCCTCCATGGTGCTATGTGTGTGTGTGTATGTGTGTGTGTGTGTGTGTGTGTGGTGTGTGTGAGAGAGAGAGAGAGTACGAGGAACGTGATGCGGGGTGTTCTTCTTCTGGCCCTGCGCAGGGAATTCTTCCAATCCTGATATGCTGCGCCTTATTTCTCTCGGCGCGGGGTGAAGCAAGCAGATAACAGTAACAATAGCTGGGGGTCCACGACGATACACAAAAGCGACGGCAGCAGACGCGACGTTAGACGACAACTCCATCATCGGCAGAAAGGGAAAGGAACAGCGAGGAGACGGGCGGCTGGGTATTGAATAATGTGTGCGGCCAGAGGAGGGGAGGGGGGGGAAGTGTGTGACGAAGCTCGTCATCCAGACAGGACTCGGTACAGCACATTCGGAATAAATCGGAGAATTTGGCGATCCCTGTAGCGGTCGTCGGTCGTGTCTGTCGAGTCGGCTCCGATATGGGCGTCTGCTGGCATGGGGGGATGGGGATGGTGGTTCACGTACGAGGGAACATCCAGTAAAAAGTACGCCAGTCATTCGCTGTTGGGGGACCTGCCGAAGTGTAGGCGTCATAGCGCCTGATGGGTAGGCAACATCTCGCCCGCGGAGCACGCGAGTGCGGCGGGCTGGCCTACCCCGAGTCTCGCAGGCGCCAAGCTCCCACAGCCTGACGAATACGAGTTTTGGTTCACAGTTAAAACCTTACGAGGCAAACTGCCAAATTCTTCGTATTTACGAAAGATTTGCTCCCTACGAAGCTTCAAAATCCTTCGTGTTACGAAGGATTTGGCATTTTCCTTCGTAAGACTTTAACAGTGGAAACATGTCTTTAAAGTTCACAACATAAACTTTATTTTCGATTTACAGAACATGGTGTACGTTTCGTTTACGACAACCCATTCATTGTTGCACTCGTTTCCAAGTCGAAACAGGGTCGCTGGAACTTGACTATTGCAAAATTGTAAATTTACAACACACATCATGATAAATTTCCCTGTTACAAGATTTTTTCTCTGCTTTCTGGACGACCCACAACGCGCAGCGCAGCAGGTCCGACCGAAACACACACGCCCCCCGTTAACTTGGCCCTTTTACCACTTCATATTTAAACATCTCGTTTTTTTATTGTTTTTGTCTTTTGCAGCCCGTTTGGTCCATTGCTACGGGCATGGGCTCGCCCACCATTTTCTCTCCCTGTTTTCCACCAGGCCACTGG